GATAATTTTAGATACTGAAGCATTGCAGGAGCTAATTGATATTCATTTATGTTTCAATAGTGTAATCAATCATAGCATTAGTCTATTCTTTTATACCCACCTGTGGCACAAAGCCCTTAAATACAATCCTTTGCACAGCTACTGTTGAGCTACTTGCCATTCTACAGACTGCACTGATTGCATCTGATTGGCATCACTTCAAACTCGCAAGCGCTAGCCAGACTACAGGACTACACTCTTGCTTGACAAGCTGAGTGCACCTTGCCTTTTCTTCTTCCAAAACAGAAAGTGGCACAAAATTAAAGCATTCTGTGAAGCCTCAATGCAATTCCGGAATGGTAGAGGATTCTTGGCATGAAGAAATTGTGATACCCTGAACCATAATAGGATTGCTGCGCTACATACAGTAGTGTTCATGCAGTGACGTTTTCCTTCCATCTGGACAGGTCTTCAAAGTAAAGGACTGAAGCTGCGGCTTTTGATGGTGTACCTTTTGGTGTGTCGTAGTCTGGTTTGAGTCGCGGATTGATCCTACTACCTGCAGTCAGCTCTAATTGTACAGTTTGGCCATATCTCACTTACAGTCAAGATTCATTATCATGAATCACACAGTCGTTTTTTTGGTCTAAAAAAATACAACAATTAATAAAATTGAGAGAAAAACAAATCCAAAAGTCAACTTCAAGTTGTAAAAAAATATTTTATTAACATCTATACAAATAAGAGCAAAAGCAAGGTTCCATGAAAAAATACAAGTAGTTAATATTTTTAGAAGGTTGTTTATATAAATATAACTTTGGCATTCATAACACCTAGCTGCAAACCCAAATACTTAAAGTTAAAACAATACAAAATCACATTAGAAGCCAGCCAGTGGCCTCAACACCTGTCCAGCTGTGCACTGTTGGAGTCGGTCATGACAACCACACATTTCCCTTTGCTTTTTCTACAGTATGTACAGTGTGACACTTAAAAAAATAAACTATCAAAAATGCAATATTTTTGTACAGCTTAAATACTTTCTTACTGGGCACTAAACATTTAATATAAACCTGAGTCAAAGTATGCAATGCATGCTATTACAGATTACCCTCGCAGCATTTTCTGGACAAGCATACATGTCGGTTTGCGGCCTTCCTATGATTGTATACATCACTGAGGTATGAATGCAGTGTTTTGACATTTTACATTACATCTTTTGCAAGTTCAGCTTGAAAAAAATATGGCTTTTGGAAATATGAATTTTTCTTGCAATCTAGATGCTGGATAAGCAAGTTTGGATTTCTGACAAGGCACAAAGGACAATTAATTACAGATTTCAGCTGTTCTTCAGCTATTGTAAGATTAATTAGATGGATAGAATTGCATAGATTTTATTCCATACTGAAAAATTCAATCACAGCATTCTGTAACATGTTTTTGCTTGAGAAACTCAACTATCAATTCGGCAGAAACTTTTCTATCAGAATTTCACAAAACAGGACTTAAAAAAAGACTTTAGAAAAAGACTTAAGTCTTTTTCCCCCCATTAGAAGAATTCCACATTCTCCAAAGATAAAAGCAAATGAAATTGGGTACAGCCACTTGATTGATCCAGTGTAGTTTATAGATATACTATAGATACCAGGTACTTTGTTTTGGCTGATCAACATTCAATGTCCATTGATTTTCTACATATGAAATCTGCCATAGATGGCTGCTCACTAAGAACAGAAGGGTTCTTGGATTTCTGTTTTTAAGACAAATCAAGCTTTCAAGTTACCCCAAACCTAGAAAAAACGAACTCAAACTGAGCATCAGGTCTTTGTTAAATCAATATTGTTGCTTACCTATTACTAAGCAATGTAACTGTTCCATCCTTCATCATGCCTGCATAGATCTTTATATTTGTCTTAGAGATGTAGACATCTTCAGGATAACAAACAAAAAAAATGTATTTTCTGTAAACTGCTTTCCAAAACCCCCTAATTTACATTTATTTTACACTAAACATTCTAGACAGTCTCTAAAATGAGCACACTTCACTGTTCCACTGTTCTCAGTAATACCAGTGATGATGCAAGTTTAAAACCTTTAGAATATTCTGGAAGTATGAAGCCTGTAGCCCGACCCTCACTTTACTGTTTTCTAATGCTGCCTCACAGTATAAAGCAATAATTAATCAGCAAATGTTTAACAATTCTTAACACTTCTTTTATGCACACATTTTCCAGCTCTGGAACCACTTTAAAAACCCATCCCACTATACAGTATATCAAAATTGTCTTAGAAGGGGTCATCCATCTAAAAGACAATATTCACTGAAATATTTTAGAAATAGAAAAAAAATCAAAATATAAGTTTTGATACAGGTGTCAAATAATGTTGTTTTGTCTTTCCTGTTGGAATTATACATGCTATAACACATAGCATGTGGGTTGTCATTTCCGAATATTAAAAGTTTAAAATCTTATGTTTTTTTTTTACAAACATGTCAAATGCTTTCCTATAATACAAGACTTTCCCGCCAGCACACAGCCAAGCACATGAAACAATAGTCCCACATTTCAAACCCAGACTTGTTGTGCTTTTCTATGCTTGTAATGTTGGTTCACAATATTTGTGACCGAGGCCACTGTGACATTAAGTGAATCAGAACAACATGTTTGAACTAGCTTTTCAGTTCAACTGACACTAGATCAAGCCACTACCATGACAGGGATTAAATTTAAGTAATCAATATATAAATATGTCCTATTTTTTTAACTGTCCATAGTACTGTGGGGTATTTATAGTCCTCGAACATATTTAGAAGTTAATCTACTACAGTGAAAAGATACAAACATTTTTAAAGATATTTACTAAATAAGAAAAATGGCCTCCTCTCATTTGTAACCTTATGTTCTTAATGATGTGCTGAGTCATTTACAGTACATGGAGTGGCTTAGGAATCTGGATTGAAAAGACAGGTTGTTCTGACTCAGTGGTAAGTTTAACAATACTGTAAGGGGGCTGAATTAAATCATCTTTCTGTCTTTATATTTATAGAAAGGACCACCTTACATTACTTCTGACAGATAAATGTATTTAAATGTAAATGTAGGTTATAAAATAACCCTAAATTAGAAAGTCTAAAAAAATATGTTTTTAGAATTATCAGAGTATAAAATGCATTTTATCCCAACACAGAGCAGACAATAGAATGTGAACAAGCCAATAAAAGATCAGTAGACTTGGTTTCTTTCACTTGTGCTGTGTGACTGTAACAGGACATTTCAAACTTTTAATCTCATAATATGGCAATACTAATTTAAAGCAAGAATTTTAGCAAACTGAAGACTGGCCTTTGCCTTTTCAAACCGTTCTGAGAGGGTTTTAGACCACATTCTGTGAACTGTCTGTTAAAGTCTGTGGAATTCATTCATAATGCATTAACCTTCAAGTAGGAGAATAAGTACCTTTCTTTAAAAGCCTGCTCAAGGTTTGTAAATCACATTTTTCATGTCTAGAGGACATAATGCCTGCATAACATTAGAGCCAGGATAAAGGTTGCTCTATAGCAATGTGTGCACTGTCAATTATTAAAATGGGAATATGTTTTTCTAAGCAAAAGACAGTAAAACAAATAAGAATAACATACTGTTCAGTGAATTAAGTATTCTAGTTAAATCATCACAGCTGTGCCAAAATGAAGGCATGGTTCCATGTGAAAGAGTTCACCAAGTCATTGTTCAGGTCTTTCCATAATCTATAAAAATAATATTGTTAAAAGGCGTCTTACCTAAGGGTGTTGTGTGAACGCCTACCTCATGGACTCAAGTTAAAAAAAAAACTATCTAACATAACTTGTTAATTGTCCATTCCAACACAAGGTAAAACTGGTTTCTGTATAATGCATGCAGATGGATTCAAGTGTTGGTAATGTACTTCATCTTAATAATGCAATTAGATAAGTGATAGACATTCTTAGTAATGTGCTCATAAAAATAAGTGGCTGAAACTTTTCTAGAACTGTGCTTGACTTTCACTTCTTAAGATTCTAAAATTCTTGCAATGTGGTCTATGGCTTAACTGTGATGTATACACTGATTAACCCCTTATTATCCTTTATCTAAATGTCTGCTGAATAGCTAGTGAGATCAGTCTTCTTTAATGTCCACTCTGTAACTTCATATTTGTTTTCAACAACCTCCATTCCTGTCACTATAATCTTTTTTAAAATAATAAAATGCTTATTTCAGATTCTAGATTGAGTGCTGACTGGCATTCTTGGAGTAAATTACAATGGTGATCGAATACCACTTTTTACTGCAATTCGAGGAGCGAACAAAAACCTAAATGCTGTGCTAATCCTTTCTCAAAACCATGACGGGGAACAAATGCGTTAGGCAGGCAAGAAGAGCTGTAGCTCTGCAGAAGTTAAGAGCAGTGGATCACTCAGCACCCTGTTGACCAGCAGCACACTAACCTTTTATTGTGGACAGTCTGCTCGGGTCTTTGGCTAGACAGTCCTATCCCTTGAAAGTCCTGCTATTGAACAAAATTAAAGTGCAAGAACATGAAGGATTTTGAAAGTAATTAGGCCGATTAAAGACTACATGCTTCTGTATCTCAAAAGTCCAGGCACTTCAAAAAGCAGCACTGTAGGTCAAATTCCTCTGGCCAACCCTTACAAGGTGTCAAGTAAACCAAAGAGCCATTTAAAACTCAGAACCTCAGCCACATGTCCTATGAGACACCCCAGGATCATGCATAAAAGATGGGAATTGTTAAATCTTTAAAAAGTCAAAGAACTCTAAATTAAAGAACAAAGAAATTTAGATCTCCAGATTAAAAATAACATTAATACTGAAATTCAGAGCAGAAGGGCTCCTATGTAATGAATTCACAGCTTGGTCCTACATTCAGTAGTTGAAGAAATCCCTGGCGAGCAGATACATTTGAGTCTAACTTCACAGTAAGTTATCTTTTTCTGTATAGCGTGTAACTTTAAATAAAGCATCACGACAAGAAACCCAAAGCTATTTCTCCTTCGGTTCATTTATAAGTTGCCATCTTCCACAATGGCTCTGTAATAGAACTGCAGGGAAGTGTGACAAAGCAGCGTTAAATAACACAGTTCATTATTGCAGAGAGGCACCAAAGTGTCATTGAGTAATGCAGTTGTCTCCCATGTCCTGAGCATAGCGGTCTGATATTATAGTCCGCAATTCATCAATGTCCTTCCGTAACTGACACACTTCAGTAAGCTTTGTGTTGAGACTCTCTTCTGTACCGACATTTTCATTTTCTTCACCTGAGCAACTCATTGCTGTTAAAAGACAACAAAGACAGTTTAAAACAGACCTAGTAAGAACTACAAATGAGCATATGTGAGGTTTTTTCTAGTGTGGTGGAACTAGACTTATATTAATTTCAACAGCAGGATGCTTTTTTGAAAAGTAATTTTCAAAGATTTACAGTATATCCATGAAGCATCATACATCCATCACGTAAATGCAATTTGAAATACATCAAAAAAGCAATAGGTAACAGTCCTTTTATAACTGTGCATCCTCTTCTTTCCTTTAACATTTCGTTACTGCAGTTTCTACATCTGTCTGGTGGGAATTAGTTCTCTGAAACTGCAGCTGTTGTTTGGAACTGCAGTCAAACTCTGGCCGTTTAAAGTCTATGCAGGATGTGAAGAAATCTGAGCTGTCGAAACTACTGTGAAAACATTTCAGTGTATAACTGCATTTATGACAAATGAACTTGAAACTGGTTATTTTTAGCTTCTGATTAATAACCCAAAATTTCTCTTGCAACATCACAACAATCTTTTATTTTTTGACTCCAGGTACCCAAAGTTCATCTTCATAACTGCTCTTGGTTTTTTCTGTACATAAATAACTGAAGAATGTCAAAGGCCAGCATGCTTGTTGTACAGTATATTATTCATTTTCAATAATTCCTATAAATTGACACAGGAACAGCCTTAGAACACAAAAGCACAGAACAACTGCATTATCCCTCTATATTTCCTTCTGTGGACAATCCAGTATAAGAACATACACTGAATCTTTTTTTAGGCTGCTGTCTGACATGGAACGAAACGTGCAGAGGGGTCAGAACTTACACTTGATTCCCAGGAGCAGAGCGAGGTTGGGCTCCTGGCCTTGAGCTCTCTGGGTGAGGATGCTGCACAGGGCCCTGAGGTCCAGCAGACACAGGGACATCTCTTTCAGCAGCTGGCCCACAGCGGCAGGCATCTCGCTGCGGACCTGCTCCGCATGCCGCTGGCCACCCGCCAGGCTGCGTGACCCCTGCACCGCCTGTCTTTGGTTCTGGTTCTGGTGTGGAAGGCAGAGAGAGCCAGTGGTCAGACCTTCAGCAGCCACCACAATGTCATAGCAAATATAGTGCCACTGTCAGTGCAGAAGGCAGACATCAAATGGACCCAGCAATGACTAAAAACTACTTTGATACATTTATTTCACTGGGACAATGGTATCATCCATCTTTTCAGTAAGACCTGCCCAGGAACGTGCTGCTTAAGGGAGACTGAAACAAAAATCAAAATCACTACAATTAATAATTCCATCAACTTTGATTCAAAAGTTATTATATTTAAGTTTTTTTTATTATTTTTATTTAAGTTAAGTGTGTCACTTCAAAGGTACTGTATGGGGATCAAGTTGCAACAATGAGAACTGAAAAAAAGAGTAAATATTTTACAAATGTATTCTGATGTTCGGTCTACATTTTTAAAAAAGTTACTATTTTAATTAGCATATCTACCAAGACATTATTTCAACAGCATTACAAGTGGGTTTCATGAAGTATTTTTAGATGAAACTTCAAAGAATTATCTGTGCTGAGGGAATGGCAGCTGCCAAAGTCATATCCCTGTGTAAATCCTCAAGCTGTTTGTTCTGAAATCATCAACATGGTTGATTTATTCTTGAAAGTCCCCTCGCTGTCTTGGCTATTCCAACAATCTTCTAGAGACAAGACAGTGAATTGGTTTACAGATATCATGCCTTTAAATCGTTACTATTCCTGTACAAACATATCCAAATGTACTGAAACACAACATTCAACACCAGAAAAAGCCAGCACAAAGAAATAGAAGCTGTAAGTAGAATGAATGATGAGCTTCTAATTCAGATCTTAAACTAGTGAAGGAGTGAGCCTCCTATGCTATTCCAGTGGCAATATAGTCAAAAATGTAAAGCATGGTGGACACTTTCCATGGTTTAATCTGAAACAGCAACATAATGTGTGAATGAAGTACTACATGAGACTAGAATCATATTAATAGATAACACAGGTGCCATGCTCAGATTTTATCCTCTAGACTGAATTGTCTGTAGCCCATTCTCCTCCAACTTGTTTGACATGAAAGGTTGTTCAAAGTTCTATTCTTAGTTCAATTCTTTTTAATATTTATGTGCTTTCCCATAGTGGATTGTGCTGCTAAATTGTAGCTTTAGTATGTAATGCTGATTATGCTCAAATGTACTCTTTATGTAGCTCCCAGAATAAATGACGAATGGATTGCAGTATTTTTCACCTCTACTGTACCAAACTTTTTTTCAGTTCAGTCTGTTATCTTTAGAAATGTCTTTCCAGCCTGCTACAAATTCTAAAATAAAATTATTTTGAGCATTTGTGGCAGCACTTTAATTTAGATACAACTGGTTTAAAAGGAAACCCTCTACCAGCAATACGAATACTTTACTGAATTCCATTTTAACCTATATTTGATATATTTCCACTCACAAGGCTAAACCTTTCCACTCTTTACAGAATCTTAAACAGATTGCTCAAGGTTTTCATCAGAAAGGCTGGTGATAGGCCATAGCTGCACTTGCCCTATTAATGCCTTTTTTAGATCCTTACAGTGATGGCAGACAGTGTGCAAGAAGCAAAACGAGGGGATCGTAAACCTGCCGATCTACTGGGAGCTGGAGAAAACCAATATATGGTACAGATTCAGTGGAATAACGCTACCGAGGAGAACAGGTCAACAGGTCAGAGAACTGCAAACTGGAAGTGTCAGAAATGCCATTATGAGGCACTGCAAGGAAAAAAAAATAGTGTTTCCTTAAATGTTTGGTTTCCTATGGTGGATCATTAGTACCCTAAGAATTTAAGAATTTGGCTGAGGAATAAATTAGTTGTTTGTTGTTTGAGATGTGAATCCATGGTCCTGATTGTCATTAGAGCAGTGTTGGTATCCTTCAGAGTAAATTCCACTCCAGTGTTTGACAATTCAGCTGGTGTATTTCTCACTTCTCCAGCTGCTGCTGTGTGTCACCCAGGCGAGTGGTGGATGAAATGGGCTCCCTCTTAGAAGGAAAGCCCTTTGGGATCATGCGGTATGAAACATGCTACATAAAAACAAGGAATTACTCCTGGGATGTAGAAATCCATTTGAAACATCATACCCGGGAGTCATCGGTGTATCATCTCTTCCCTTTCTGTTCTTAGTATATCAGAAGCAATACTCATCAGTCGTATCAGTCATATCACTACTGCTTCAATTACGTAGAGTGATTTGTGTAGAATGGCATGTGTGACGCTATAGACAGCCTCGCGTGGATACAAACATACAACTGGTCTGACCAGTGCGCAGACCTGTGCAAAGCGTAAGTACAGGTTCATTATTTCCTCAGATGTGGTGGTGATATTCAGGCCTGTGGTAACAGCAAATGTTTGCTTAAAGAAAGAGTCAATGGGTCTTTGTTTCTGTTCCCTATTAATAAACCATGAGCCATTATTAGTGTGTGTTGATGCCCGGAGTGAAATGGCAATGGCACTGCAGCTTGAGCAATCAGAGCATACTTCTGAAAGAGATTTATTCATGTATGTATTGATTGGTTTTAAATATTTATGAGGCATCAACCCCACAGCACCTGTGTCATATCGGGCTAAGGTTGCTAATTTTACTGAGCGTTACATGTTTAAGACATTGGAACACAAAAAATATAGAGGAAATCATCTTTTTTCTCCATTAAAAAATGTTTAGGAACAGACAAAAACTATCAGTATAATTGATTTCATAGGCTACTACTACTTTCCTCTCACCTTTAAATCTCTAACATAAAATATTCCATTTATTTATTTTTGGTTTACTTTTTAATGTTGTTGTACACACAGCTTGTGTCTTCCTTGTTGGAGCATTCACAGTATATTGTGCCACATCATTATCATATTCAGTAATCTGTAATGATTGTGAATTGAATTCATAATAGGCAGAATTATGCACTGTATATTGTTTTTACTGTTGATTGTAACAGTAAAATATCTTAAACCACTAGACACTCTCCATGGTTTAATGATCACACACGATCCCTTAAACAAGAGTGCTGCTAGATCCCATCCCCAACCAACTAGTTAAAGATTCCCTCGAAGTACTGGCAGGACAACAGTGCTTGTGCTCCTAGATCTTACTGCTGCCTTTGACACTGTTGACCACTGTATTTTGTTACAAAGGCTTGAGTTCGAGGTTGGCTTATGTGGAACCGTCCTTAAGTGGTTTACCTCCTATTTAACTAACCGTTTTCACTATATTCAAATATCTAATAATTTTACTACTTCGTCACTGTCACCAGTCAAATTTGGGGTACCACAGGGATCAGTGCTCAGACCAGTATTGTTCTCTTTGTATATATTGCCGCTAGGTAGAATAATACAAAAGCATAATATTAACTTTCATTGCTATGCTGATGACACTCAAATATACATTTCATTTACACCTAACGACAACTCATCAACTGTAACTTTAGCTAATTGCATTAATGAAGTACAGTCTGTGTGAAAACCTTTTGTCACTCAACTCTGATAAAACTGAGGTTCTGTTGTTTCGAGGCAGTGCGGATAGGACTGTTATAACCTCAGCATTCACCTAAGAGGGTTTAAAATTTTGCCTCAAAGATCCGGCACGTAACTTAGGCGTCATCTTAGACACAAGGTTCTCATTTAACTCTCATGTTAATGCAGTATCAAAAGCGTGCTTCCTGGAGTTAAGAAACATTGCAAAACTTTCGCTCCACTCAAGACACACAGAAAACTAATACATGCTCTTGTATACAGCAGATTAGACTACTGTAATGCCTTACTATCAGGGAGAAACTATCGCACCCTCAACACCTTACAGCGAATTCAAAACGCAGCAGTTAGAATTGTTACAAGGGGTAGAAAGTACGACAACATAACACCTATACTTGGCTCTCTCCATTGTCTTCCTGTTGGGTACAGGACAGACTTCAAAATTATTTTACTTACTTAAAGGCTCTCAGAAGTCAGGCATGTCTATTTAATAAAGCTGATTAATGTATACAATCCAAGTCATCCACTTAGATCACAGAATGCAGGTCTTCTTCTTATTCCACATGTAACAGCTGGTGGTAAAGCCTTTAGCCCCTAGCGTATGGAACAGTCTCCCACCCCATATTCGGGATGCTGAGTCAATCTCAGTATTCAAATCCAGACTGAAGACCTATTACTTCAGCCTAGCCTACTTACACCTTACATTATGGCCTGCTGCAACCATTGCTGCTGGTGCTGCTGTACTTGCCATTGTGTGTTTCAGTGTTCCTTCCAGGTAGATACATCTGTTCTGACCAACCTATCCTATTCTCCTCCCCACATGTCCAGATGGCACCCGAGCTGGAAACCATCTTTAGTTGGATTCTGCATCACCGCCTTGGATCCATGAGGGACATTGCGAATACATATAGTTTAGGAGGATTTGCTGGTCTACAGAGAACTGCATGGAGTACTGGCACACAGAAGGACATGATGGAAGACTTAATACTCCACATTTAGTACTTTTCTAGAATTGTAGAATGCTAGCATGCTCAGAGGGGTTGGGCAGCCAGTTGACCTTGGACCCCTAGAGGTTTTCTTTCTCCTTACAGATAAGTTTTTGGTTCCTCTCCTCCGTTGTCTTCTGGCTTTTTCTCTTTCTGTATTGTAATGTCATGTACTGTCACACAGTTCTGTTAAGTGCCTTGAGACAAACCTTGTTGTGAAAGGCGCTATATAAAAATATATTGAATTAAATTAAATATCTGACATATTTGGGTTTAATGAACACTGTCGATTGACTTACCAAATGTCCAGTATTTCTTGGCTCTAGACAAAAATCAGGAATATTGGAGACTGTCCATTAAATAAAAAATCTGTTAAATCTGTTACAGAATTAATTTACTGTATTAATTTATAAACCACTTGAATTTCTAGATAAACTAAATGACTTCCGCTTGTCTGAGATCCTTCTAAAGCACTTTTCATTACTAGGTATACTAGCATGAAAAGACCCAGATCACCCTGTCTGGAAGGTACCATGTGAAGGTGAAACAGTTCTTAAACAGAATCCGCAGTTTTGTCACAGTTAACCGAGCACAGTCACAACTGCAAACAGAAGGAGAAAGGGTGTGTAACGCAAGATGATGTTATGATGGAATAGTACATGGTACACTGTGATAGCGCTTTGCATCAGAGTCTTGACACAGTAATACAATGTGCAGGTGTAGTTCCCACACATGCCTCTAAACAAAGCGGTATCTTGAGTACTGCACACACACAGTCCGCTCACCTCTTCAAGCACTTCAGACAGTTGCTTCAGGGTGTCTTCCTTCTCGGCCAGCTGCTTCCTTAGCTCCTGGGAAGCAGCCCGTTCTTGTAATAGCTTCTTCTCTGAAGCCTAAGTAAGAACAGAATAGAATTACATGATAAAATATATATACAGAAATAATAAATATGTGCCTTCTGGATCTGTCTTATTTTCTTAACAACTAGAACAAACTCAGTCTTTAACAACCGTATATATACTGTATAAAACATTGTAGTATACAAAACACAAACACTACTGATATCTCTGAATATAAAACTTAATCTAGTATTGATTTTATTTTATATTGACATTTTAATGTGTTTCCTAAAATATTTTTTTTCATTACAAAGCAGAAACAACATCCACTGTAAGCAATTCACCTGATGGTTTTATTTTTTTCATACAGGGTTACTTCCACAATAAGGACCATCCTTGCAACGTTAACTGTGCAACATTAACTTTCCTGACTTACAACTTTCCATACAACTTTATTCCCTCACAACACAAATAAGTCCCATGATGAAACAAAACACTCAATATAGGTCCTGCCTATATTGTTACACCCTGTACCAACAACCTTACCCTATAGGGCACCACCGATATTCATGCCTTTAATTACAAAAAGGTGTGCTGTACAAATATATTATTTATTGATTTGTTATTTTTTAATTTTACTGTCCGTTATCGAGGAATTTCTGATTTTATAGCCAAATTCCCTTTTAGCATATTTTGTCTACTAAATCAGAAGTCCATTAAGCCAAAGGTTTACTGTAACACAAAAACATTTGCATCCTCCTCTACCTTTAACAGCTCACATTAAAAAAAACCTCATTAAGCACTGTGTGCATTGTACACAATGGGCAACATTATGTCAACGTAAGTGAATCGCTGTGGGAAAGTCCTCAGTAGATGTCTAAAGAACAGTTCAAATGCTTATTTGCGGAGGGATTTTCTTTTCCAATGTATCATGGAGACATGCTGTAGATTTTGGGTTAAACCTCATAAAACCAGGTTTCCTCAAAGTCTTCCAAAACTTGGGTCAAAGTTTTAAATGTTTTAACACAATACACACATCCAGCTATCTGAACTTCAAAACTGTCCACAATTTGGACATATTTGTGAATATCTAATATGAATAAAGAAAACTGCAATCCAGATTTTTATGTACTCGTATTATACATAGTATTTCTATGCTAACACGTTAACACCTTATCCACTGCGATGAAAATGGAATTATTTTAAAAATTTGACATGCTGTGCAAACACAGATATGTATAAATGGTCAGCATGTCAACCACAAATGACATCCAGATATACAGTACAGTAGAAGGAAGTTTTTTTTTTAGAGATAGTGATGTGAAACACTGAATTCTTTTTCTTATTTAATTTATACATTCTAAATTATAAATAACTTCAATGTACTCTGCAATGCCCGCTATTTTAATGTTGTTTTTATTATTATATAGTCTAAAAATACAAAATTGAACAGTTTCAGTCAGGAGGTCTGGAGATCCTGTATACGTAATAAAATGATAAGTAGTTATAAGTAGTAGTTCCACTCTAATCTGTATCCAGTACATCTTTAACTACACATAATTAAAGTTCACATGGCACAGGGTTCCACTTTCACTGTAGGTTCCTTCTGTACATGACATTGCAATTGTCTTGTAAAACAATTGTTTCAATTACTGTGACAGTGAAAACACTTTTGAGAAAAGAGATGATTATGACATGTAGAATATGTATTCTATGAAATGGGTGTTATCAGACTGCTTGTTTTGACTCTGCAAGTCCACAGTCCCAACAGCACAGGAATTGATGCAGCTTTCACAGATAACACTGCTGACAATACTCTCTCGTAAGGCTGCAGGTTCTAGGTGCAGCAAAGCAGGTTCATCTGGCAACTACTTACAGTCAGTTCTGAAGTGAGCCTTTCTATTTGCTTCTTTTGATTGTTTATAATCTGGGGGGGAAAACAAGAACACAAAGATTACAACAAAGTAAAAAATAAGCATACAACAAAGTCACAAATAAGCATACTGACTGAAGTAAAGGTTTATTCCTGCTGAACAGAGAAGAAAAGAAACACAACACTTTGGCTGTGGAGCCTTCTTTGGGTGTGGTACTGACGCTTAGCTGCATTTCAGAAGCAAGGTTACCATTCAAAATCCTCAGTCGTAATGATCATGAGGCCATATCACAAGACAAAACTGAATTTCTAAACCTTGTGAGTGCACCATTTTCAACCTGTGATTGGTGCTTCTTCACACGCTTTTAATGCCCCAACGGTTGAGCCACCCTGCGACAGTTTTTATGCCCCGAGCATAAAAACTGTACCTCGATGTTCCGGCTGTGTCGCTCCTGGAGGCGGAAATTGTCCGATTCCAGCTGCTTCGTGTCCAGCATGGGAAGCCGCACCCCGTCCTCAAGGCACCT